CCCGACGAAAAGAAAATGTGGGTACCAGAAAGTGATTGCGTCATCGTGTCAGAGTCATCCAGCCTCTCCGAGAAAGCAGCCCAGCGAGAGCGCCTGGCCAGTCTCATGAAGCAGATCAAGGAGCAGAAGCCCATTGATTCAAAGTTATGCAACATGCACAGACATGGCCATGTGCAAGTCTGCATGTACATACATGATGCTGTTGACTTCAGCTTAGGCAGCTGGACAAGTCCGAAACTTCAGGCATGCAGTGATGGACTCCACTAATATTCAGCGAATCCTCTGTTATTCTTGCGAATTGGAGGGCTATAAACATGCGCAGGCAAGCCCGGACCTTCTGGATGGATGGGTCTGGAGGCAGCAAGGGCCCTTCTTCTTCCCAGTGAGGCCTCATTTCATGTTTGGATCATGTATGCATTAAACACAACCTCCATGGTATCACATTCCTCTTACAGCATTGCTTGGCAGGTTGAAACTCAGCCAATCAATATTGAAGATGTGCCTGTGAACCTGCCACCGGAGCCTGTCTTCGATAGCAATACACCCAAGAAGTTTGTTGACATGGTTGGCCAAACTGGGGATCAGGTATCTTGTCATGCAACATGTTGACAGGTTTGCGATGATGAGCTGCATATATAAGCGTAAACACATTCCTGCATGCATGCATTAGGATATGCCCCCTGCCTGCAGGCAGCTACTCTCCACCTTGGAGATGAGACAACCCCGAGCACGCAGCGAGCTTTGAGAAAGCAGCGGCGTGAGGAAAGCACGCGAAAGGGGAAAGGTCGTGGGCGAGCTGGAGCGCGAGGGGCCGGGCGAGGGCGTGGGCGTGGCCGAGGGCGTGGGCGGTCTTCTGGCAAAGGGTGCAGCCGGAAAAGCCTGACAAGCCCCGCACTGGCGGATGATTCGCCGAAGACCAAGACAAAGACAAAAGCTGTGGCGAAGGCATCGATCCGGAAGGTCAAGCAAGTCACGCGCCGGCCTGCCAAAGCCACTGAGCCCGAAGGCAAGCGCAAGCGCCGTGGTGGAGGCGGTGGTGGCGGAGGTGGTGGTGGCGGAGATGATGGTGATGATGAAGGAGATGGTGATGACGCAGCAGGCCCCCCTACGGGCCTGGGCTGCCCTCGGTGCAGGTATGCGAAAAAA